TGAAAAATAAAAAATAAGGGCTAAAAGTATGAACTCAGCTGGATAAAAGGAATTACTGAAGCCAGAACCGACCTTGCTAGAGAAATGACAAAATAGAAGCAACAGTATAATCCCCAATCACAAAGAAAAAACCCTTGCAATATACTAGACCTATCGACCGTGCGGATGAAAAATCAAAGGAAGCATACGTGCCAGGAAAGAAAAAAAGGAAAGGAAAAAATCTCAAAACTAGCTCCAAGAGTAGAACACTGAACACACTCACTAGTCAGCACTAAAACTTACGCATCAAAGGTAAACAAGACAGACCTGTGGCCCCCCCTGAACCCGAGACAATAAGAAAACAACACCTACCCCCCCAATGATCAGATAACCCACTAGATCAAACTCCTGACCGCTAATTGCAAGAACCCACATGATAAGGCCCACCAGGAAATCCTATCCCCTGAAAGATAAAAAGCCAGTGAAACAAGCTAAGTCATGAGGCATATGCACAAACACGTAAACGAAACAGACAATCAGGGCAAAGTTATCAAGTAACCGATCCCCCAGAATCTATAACATGTAGACCATAAACCGTGAGCCATACACGTCGATTCAAGGCCAATGGAGAATGAAAGATAAATCCTAAAGGCGAAGCCTGAGGCAAAATGACATACCCCTAAATCATGATCCAGCCACATTGTGCCAAAAAGGACAAAAAAGGATAAAAATTATCGCCTAACCTCCGAAAACTCAAGGTACTGGATCACAAAAGCCTAATCGGTAAACCTTATGCCCCAGCTGCATAGGACTACAACGTAACACCTGAAACATGAACATCGACCATAAAAGCTGAGCCCTGAAATGTAAGCCTTCCCACATGGGAAATAATCCTTGAACCCTCCAAATGGCCTTGAAACTTACCCAGTAATACCAACAGGAAACACAGAACTCCCCACCCCTACCACCGGAAGCCTCTTCTCTAGACCTGACCACAAGAACAAAAACTCGACCCTGGAAAAAAAGCACGAACTTCCTCAACACGAGAAACACAATAGTAACCACTAGAGGCTAAGCCCTAAAAGCACGAAACAGAACCAGGGATCCTGCAAAATAAGCAGCTAATCATGATAGACTAAACCCTGAGACAGGTCCAAGAGTCCCAGGGCACTAAATGATCGAAAGTACAGTGTAAGGAATGGAAAAATAGACCTTACAACGAGACACTAACCCCTAGATCTTGGAACCTAAGATCCAGACCTCCCCCCTACCAAAGGGACAGAGGATCGTGCAACCTGAACCCTGAAAACTAATCCTGAGAGGTAAATCCTAAAAATAAAATCTGAACAGTAAGAACCAAACCCTGACAGCCCAAACGTAAACATAGAATCCAACAACAGAGCCCTGAACCCTAGCGCCTGAGCCAAGACCGTGGACCCTGGACCCTGAGCCCTATCCACTGAGCGCTTGAACCCCCAAACATGAAAACTAAGGACACACCCCTTAAGCCCCAAGCCCTAAATCTAAACCTAAACCCTAAATCCTGAGGCCTGGACCCTGACCCCTGAAAAATCAAACCTAAGCCTAGACCATATGACGTAGATCCTGAAACCTGAACCCCTAAAGCCCTCAACTCCTGACCCCTAAGCCAGGAACACCAACCCCTAGACCCTTAACACCTGAGAAATAGACCATGACCCCGGAGCCTGAAACATAGACCCTGATCCCTGGACCCTGAAACCTAAAGCAGAGACCTGGATCCTGAACCAACAGCCCTGAACCTTGAACCCTGAACCCTGAACCCTACACCCTGAACAATGGGCCATAAACCCTAAAACAAAAATCCCTAAACCACTAAACCGTGAACCTAAACGCTGAAACCTAAACCTAAATATAGCCGCAAACCATGAACCCTAAACCCTGAACCATGAACCATGGACCCTAACTCGTGACCCCTAAACGCTAACCCCTGAAGATTAACCCTCAACCTAAAAATAAACCCTGAACCGTAACCCAACCCCTGAACCTTATCACCTAGACCTAATTCCTGAACCCTGAACCCTAAACCCTAAACCTAAACACTGAAACCTAGACCAAGAGCCCGGACCCCTAGAAGCCTGAACCCTAAACCCTGAACCCTAAACCCTACACCCTGAACACTAAACCATGAACCCTAAAACTAAACCCTGAACCCTGAACACCATAAAACTAACCCCTAGACCCTCAAGCCTAGACCTAACCCTAAACCCAGAACCCTAAACCATGAATCCTAAACCCTAGAACCTAAACCTAAACCCAGACCCCTGAATCATTAACTCCTAAACCTGAATCCTAACCATAATCCTCCAACCCTAAACCTAATCCCTGAACCCTGAACCTTAAACCCTGAACACTAAAGCTGAACCCTAAGCCCTGAACCCTAAAGCCCCTGAAACCATAAACCTAAAACCTGAACCCTAAACACTAAACCTGAACCGTGACCCCTAACCACTGACCCCTAAACCTAGACCCTGGAAACTGAACCGTTGAAAACTAGATCCAAAACCCTGAACCCTTAACTCCTAAAGCTGAACCCTAAACCCTAAACCCTAAACGACTGAACCCCTAACCCAGAACCCTGACCATAATCCCCCAACCCTAAACCTAAACCCTAAAACCTAGAAGTTAGAACCTGAAACCTAAACCTAAGCCGGAACCATAAACCTGAACCCTAAGCACCTAACCCCGACACCCTGCCCTCTGAACCCTAAGCCTAGCCCCCAAGCCCTGAACCATAAAACCTAAATCCTAAACCCTGAAGCCTAACCTTGGACCCCGGACCCCTAGCCCTAGACTCTAACTCTTAAACCTGAACTTCGAACAGAAAAAAGTAAGAATAGACCACCACCCCCTAAATTGAAACAACAATCACTACCCCCCCCCATGCCAACGGCAGGGACAACGACACCAATATCTCCGTTCCGCCCACTGAGCAACGTGTACTCCTCATTTCATGGACGCTATCAGATCTAGTGAGCATATCCTCCCGACTCAATCACAGATGCCCACATTCAACTGCCCCGTGCCGCTGCTGCTGGCTCCCTGTTTTCCTCGACCTAGACACACACGGGAAGGCCAGTCCCATCTAGGCCGTAAGGAGTCTCCTCACTGGAAGTGGCCGGGTGCCTGTGAGCTCCATCGGATCTAGAATTGGCAGTGGTCTACCTATTGGGGGGGGAAAAAAAGGAACCATAATAAATTCCCCGCAACCAGCTTCGTTCAGAGTTCAGATTTTTTACGGTTTAGGGAGTGTTCCGCTGATTCATCTAAGTCTAAACTTACTCAAGAAGAAAGTTCAAATGACTGCAGAAATTGGTCCCACTCTAGTCTGAGGTGGTTGGGCCATATCTTATAGCGTCAGCTGTACCAAGAAGGGCCGGTCCAGCTGTTCCCGGCCCCCTTCTTCTCCTCCAGTAAACTCTCTTCAGACCATACAGACTGGCAATCATTAACAACGCGCCTAAGACCCCTCCAGCTATAGAACCCACTCTAGTAGACTTGTCTTCCTCTGTGGGAAGTTGCCCCATATTCTCCCCCTGCAACGTATCCGTTGTCTCGACATGGTGGGTTCCAGTGCTTGACTGACCTGTTATTTCTTCCTCAGCCGGTTCTGTCGAAGTTAAAGTCCCGGTGACTGGAGTCAGAGTCTCTGTGACTCTTCCTGTCCGTTGAGCTGGCTTTGATGGGAGCTGGGGGGGTGGGCTTGGGCGGCTTACCCTATCCTGTTCCGGACCCCTCGGAGTTGCCCTGCTGTTGTTGTGAGGGCCGGGGGATTCTGCGACTTGGCGGAGTTGCCTTGATTTCTCGCTCAGCTTCTGTGCCGCCTCCTGTTTCGAAGAGGGCTGTCCGGGTACCCATACCGCAGCGGTCGAGGACCTATTATGTTGTTCCGTTGTTGTGTGGACCCAACCTGCCAGCTCGGGCGTCAGTTGACTAGGTGGCCTGGTCTCGGGTGAACCAACTGCTAGAGGGGTTCCCGTCTCGGTTTCAGTAAGTGTTAACCGCGAGACGTTTTCTTGTGAGGTGGGCATCACGACTGTCCGGTTCTCCTTTCTCCAGATGGTCAACCTAGGGGCCTTACTGGTACCTGTTCCCCCCTCACAATTCAATACCCCCCCCTCCAACTCACAGGCTCCTATTCTATCCAACTCCTGCTCCCCATTCGTTATAAAACTTGTCAAGTCATAATTACCTTCGTACTTTCCGCAATTGATCAGACCATAATATATACTTAATAGAAACCCCAGTCTTAAGTAGTTGTCTCGCTGGTCTCCTTCAGCGGGTTCCAGTGCCTGTAAGAACCCCCCCAAGTTCTCCAGAGGATTGTTTGGCTCGCCCGTTTTTCTGTTTCCCAGGTCTAGTCCTATAGTGTCCCAGACGGCTTGGCATAACTCTTTGACCTGGCCGGTGGGGGGTTGGTCCAATCTTTGCCACCCTATTAAAGCCTTTATGATACAGGTCAGGGATACCAAAATTGCTTGTCCTTCACTGGTGAGGGACCAGTCCTCTGAAGCAGAGTCGGGGGATTCGGCCGGCCAATGGTTCTTGTCCCAGATAGGGATGAATCTTTCTTTGGTTTTGGCCTTTACTTTCTGGATTTTTAAGGCTTGGTACATTACACACGTTAAAAAATTCATCCATGTAATTTCATCCTTCGGCCCGGCCCAGATCTCCTCCACCAGAGGACTTTGGGTTCCTCTCACCTCACCCCATACCTTGGACCCTCTGCTGGAAGTGAGTGCCTTTTTCCATTTTCCTAGAAATCCGGGAGTGGATCCATCCTCGAACCTATACTTCCCCAAACAATACCTATTCAATCCTGGCGTACAGGATTTTCCACTTGTCGCTATAGGTAGATTGGCCCAGTCTTCCTCCACACCCTTTATCTTCATACTTCTCATCCTGTTCTTCCTTAGGGTCGATGTTCCAGTTCAGTCTACTTGATCCTTCCGTGATTGTCCTCCGCGCCTGAACTACTTTAATAGACACCCGTCCTTCACTCTTTCTGTTGGCTCTTGTTTGGTTCCGCTGTCGTGCGTCTATTTTAATCCTTCACTGACTGACTCTCCTGTCGGAATCAGGGCGCTTCGGCGGGTATGGAATGCTTTCCCTTCTTCTTCCTTTCCCTTGATACCTATTTATCGTAACCCATGCATAAGCTCTTTAGTCTTATCCTCATGACTCTGGCTGCGTCCTAATCCTTTCCTCTGGAACTCCCTATTCCTTCATATTCCTTCATCCGACCCTTCCTACTGCAGAAGTCTACTGGACACTTCAGTTGCCTTCTTGATCCCACCTCACCTAACCTTCTCTTGGGAGTCGATGATCTGGTCAGGTTGGCCTGTTTCTCACTTTTACAGTTTACTACCGAGTTGAAGCTATTTAGGTGTCTCTTCCGCGTCCGTGTCTAAGCTTTCTACATAGTCGGCTCCTCATCCGACTTGAATGAGCCTCATCCGTAGGATCCCCCTTTGCCTTCCTCCCGGGGGCAAGTCCTGTTCCTTTCCCTTTAGCACTGTGCTATCCAATCTCTCCTGAATGGGAGATTTTACCCCTACCCGCCGTCAGGGTCCCTGGTCTGGCTCCTTTAGACTCGACTTCTTCCTCATCCCCCAGAAACTCTACGCCTTGAGGACTTACGGCTCCCTTTAGATCCTTCTTTCGTCTCGCGCTCTGGCCCTGCATTTAATAAGAAGTTCCAGTTGCGCCGGTGTTCTTAATATATACGCCCCCCCTTCCGGATGGACGGTCGGACGCTTTTATCCTCTCTCTACCCCCCCGTTCATGGCCTCGCCGCCTCATGCAGCTAAATGTCCTATTCCGTCCTACACCCAGCTGTCTATATGTCGCGGGCTCCGCTGACGTCACGGCAGCCTTAAGTTTTGCCTGTCACTGGCGGCTTGTTCCCGTTTATCTCTAATCACTTCATGCTGTGCTGCTCCGTGACCGAGGAACCATTTCCACGGCTATATTCTTGACCTGAGTCCCTTCTCTCTTCTACTGCTAGAGGACAGTACCTCCTATTGTTCTGCCTCCTGCTAGCTCCTCCAGTGATTCAATCTGTTCTTCCTCGTTTTAGGTCCTCCACTCCTTACTTGGCTGTCTCACCTCCTCTCTTATTCTTTGCAGGATTTTGGGACTTCTTCCTATCTTCTGGTTCGACTGCTATACACCGGTTTGTGTGGCTTCTCTTACCCTTGCTGTGCTTTCTCCCCCCAGAGTTGTATTCGTCCGTTGTTTCTACTCCTTCTCACCCAAATCGTTCCTTCAACTGTTCCTATCACCTGCCCCTCCGAGTTCTTACCTCGATCTTCTGCCTTGCCTCTCTAATTCGTCCTGTATTGTGCTCTACTCCTCCATCGTCCCTTGAGGGGCCGTTAGAAGTGGGTGGCCCCCGCTGGGAGAGAACTGCCTCCCAATAGGAGTCCCTTCTTTCTCTTACGTTATCAATCCCTGTGCTTTCTGCGGCGCTAGCCTCTTATCCCATCGTCATCTTATTCTCCGTGAGCTCAGTTAAGCCCATTCTTCTCTTTCCTTGGGGTTGTTGGTCGATGCTCAGCCTTTCTTTCCACGAGGGGATCCCCTTAACCCTCGGCTCTGGAATTCCCCCGTTGACTTAACCCTTTCTTTTGGTTATTCTGCTTCTTCTGGGGGGCAGACGGAGTTTTCATGGGTGGGGTTGCGGTTGCGTCTTGTGCTGATGCCCGTGTTTGTTGATTTCTCCTGTTTGACCCCTACTGCCCAGCCGTTTCTACTTATTTGCACTCCTGAGATTAGCTCCACCCCCATCGGTTATCCTTCATTAATCCCGCTCTTCCTTCGACTTCCACTTCAGGGTTTCCTTCCTTATGGGGGGAGCATCATTAGGTCATAGCTTGGGGCCCCCCTAACTTCCCTTAAAAGTCAGGATTTTTCTTGGACTCTGATCGTGCCTGGGGGTTAACTCATACGCTTCTAGAGGTGTCATCCCCCCCTCTGGGACGCTGGAGGTTTGCGAATCCTTCGGGCCGCAGTTACTCCTATAGGAATTCATCTATGCCTGTTCCTTCTGACTTCTTTGGTTAGAGACCTCTTGACTCATATCCCCCGTTTGTCCAGGATATATCTAGACACTAAAGCCGCTTGTCCCTATACCTATAGACTTCATGACGCAGTGTGAGTGAGTTCACCTTTCACTTAACCTAAGTTCTTCATCTTCCTCATAGGGTCCTTCCCGTCCTTTGTTGCGGTATAGAGTAGCTCCTATCCTTTAAGCTTACGTCTCTCAGTCCCTTATCCGGTATTCACCTCCCATTGTTTTTGTTTTATTATTAGACGGTGTGTCCCCGCCTGTCCAAGTAACTTTTGTTGATTTGTCTTATTCCTTCATAGTTGAGTTTGGTCAGCTTCTTAGTCTCGGCTTCACTTCCCTTTGGGTTCTGGTACGGTCCTTTCTTGAGTTTGTGTTTTCAAGTGTGCCCATATCCCTTGAGCCTTTTTAGTTGATACGTACTACTCCTTTGATTCAGCTGCCCCTTCAAAACCTCCTCTTCGCTCACTTGGGTTTCTGGCACTTTTCCCTTCGACCTTAGGAGGGTTCCTGAGGTGCCATTAAACCTTTTCATCCTCCATCCAGCCTTCTATTCCCGCCTATTTATTCTTTTTCTATAGCTGAGAGTGCTTTTCTTTGTCGGAAAAATTCTTGTTTGTTCTTGGCGGTAGGCTCCCAGAGTCAGCTTTAGGAGTTGCCCGTCTGGGGGAGACTTACGCCTCCTTCTCTCCTAAGTCTTAATACCCTATTCCCTGGTTCTAGCTGCAGGTGCTTCGTCCTTTCAGACTACCTGACTCTTAGTTGGTATTGGGCTGTCGCACTTCCCTTCCTTGACGCCTCCCAATGACGGGATCATTAGGGGTTGCCGTTCCCCCTAAACCAATCCTGTTTTTCCTGAATCTGTTGTGCCCGTTTCTCCCATGTTCTCGTTGAGGCTGAGTGTCACTTCTTACTAGGGGCTCCTGAGCCGGGATTTTGTGGGTCCTACATTCCTTTGACTCCCTGAACGTGCTCCTGCCTTGAGGTGCCTCAGCTTTCTCAACCTGTATTCTTCCTACGCTTGCATTTGGCCTCATACTCTCCTCCTTCTTTTGATGACCCTTAGATCTCGCCCTCGGTTCGTATTTCGGCGGCGTCGATTGCTGAGGGTGGTTCCTGTTTTGCTCCTATTAGGCACTTTCTCTATTTTCATAGCTACTTCTGCAGTTCCAGTTGGAGGAGCTGTTGTGTTGCTGTTGTTCAATTTTGTAGTTTCCTGTCGTTTGACTGGGGCGACGTATGGTGGGGTCGTAAGCTTGAACTTCTCCCTGCGAGTTACTTCCTCGTGTTTTAAGTGGCATCGGTCATTTTTCGTCCATCGCTCACTTATGCGATGCTTATTTTCCCGTTGGTTCTCTGCTAGTGGATCCCCCTCGGGGGGTTCCCTGGGGAGGCTTGGGTAACAGCCCTGGAATGCCATTTTCGAGGTGGGATGGTCGAAGTCCCTCTTCAATTTCGGATTGTTAGGGGAGCGCACCTGCTGTGTGGTTGTGAGATTTATCCATCCTTTATTAGGTTACTCCGGCTTTGATTTGGGAGTAATCTTATATTCTTGAGGCGCGTGATTAAACCTCGTGAATTTTTCTTTCGGCCGATTTAGCTACGATTTCCTGCTCTTTTTCCCTTTCTGCCAGTTAGTGGCCCCGACCTGGCCCAGGAGCTGAGAGCTGACCGCTTGGAAGGCTGTTCTTCTGCCTTACATCTTCCCTCATCATCATCAGCTCATCTCTCAGATATACGGATTCTCCTTAGATGATTTCTCCTCAGACTTCTTGGTGGTCCCTCCTTCTCCTTTCTTTGCCTACGTATGGAGATTCTCTTCCGCTCCTTGGTCCGTTTCCAATTATGGAATATCACGTTCCTCTTACTGATCTGGTTAGGCTCCTGGTTGACGGAGTATTTGGGATAATTGCTCCTGATCTACTGTTCGCTACTAACGACTTATCCTTATCTGGACTATCTAGATGAAATCATCTGTTCTGATAATGTCCTTAGGTTAGCGCGGAGAGTTCATCCAATATGAGACGACCTTTAATCTTGTCTGATACTTCTCGTCCTCTATTTATCAGCCTGCTCTTTTTACCCGTGTTGGCTGCCGGCGCCTTCTGAGAATGAGTCCCCCTTTCCCTCTATGTTTAGGGGGGAGGGGATAATGCTAAGAGGTCTATTCGTCTTCCTTAGGATATTTAATCTAACTCCTACTTGGATTCACAGTCTCTGTTGCTGAACTTTTTGGTTCATCGTCGCAGTTAGTGAAGGGAGGATGAAGTATGCTCCTATTGCCTACTTGCGTGTAGCAGCTGGCTGCATGCATCCTTAACTTTTTCCGAGTTGATCATTCCCTAGGGTCTGATTAATCTTCTTTTATAACACTCAGCTTATATTTTCATCTTCTATCACTCTATTCCTTTAGTTTTCATCTTTCTCTACTCCTAGAACTTTCCTATAGGCGCCTGAAGATGGCTCGTGTTCGAAGAGCGACACCAGCCAAAGTTTGGGCTTTTCTGATTTGTCTTTCCACGCTCACCCTATCCTATATTTTAATCCCCTTATTCTTTTGGCTTGTCTTGTCTAAACTAAACATTTCTTCCATTCCCCCATATATGTTATAGGACAGATTTATATTTCTTCAGGATGGGATTTTTAATAACATAAGTTGCTCCTACTTCATCTCTTAGGCCCGATTGTTCTTTAATAGAGTTGCTAAGAGATTTCTTAATCGTTTTGGATTATCAGATCTACTTGAGGAAGTGATATATAGGACGGGTCATATAGTGGAGTCTATTACTAGGGGATAAAGAGAGTTAATGACTAAAGATTCCTTTCATAGTGTCCTCCATAATGTATAAGGGGCTTGGAAGGAATTGATCCTTTCTAGATGATCTCTTGATTCCACAATCACTCCACAATTATCACTTTAGTAATCTAATTACTTGATCTTTCCTTGGATCCCACCTTCCTTGATTTTATGCATTACTGGAAATGTAATCCACATTAGGATTGAACACTAGTCAATTTTCTCCTCCTGTTTAGTAATTTGAGAATTTTACTAATTATTAATGTATATTCATATCATATAATACTTAGGTGGTCTTAGAGACTTTAATGTTTTGGTTTTTCCGTTATAGCAGTTTCCTTTTTCTTTTTTTTTAATATTTCTAATCTCGCTATCATAGATCGGTGATTTCATAATATGAGGGATATACCATTATATCCTCTGATAAAGAACTAATTATACCTTTTATAATGATCTCATTATTTAATACGGTGGGCATCATAGGAAATATATCACGAGATTCTTATTTTTTGGACTAGAAACTGACGTATAATTGTAGATCTTCCTTCTCCTCATTCCTCCTGCTTAAATATTAGCCGAACGAGAGAAAGGAATAAACAAATAATCGGAATAAATCCAATCATTCACTATGCCGTTAAAATGTTTTTGGTTGTTTGTTATATTACCCTGTTCCTGTTAATCAATCCTAAAGAATAAGGGTGCTTGTAGGTAATATACTTTGGTGCTGAAGTTTTAAAGCTAAAATGACAGAATAAGCTGGGAAGCTGAGATGAAATAGGAAATGAACCCTTTCTTAATACCTGTAAAAAATAAATAAAAAAAGCCCATACCCTCGTAGCATGCCCAGATTTATGTTTTAGCTTAATCCATAGATATTTTATTCCTTAAGGAGATGATATATCTCTTAGGACTATTACTTTAGTGATAGAGAAGAATAGTCCTATCACATTAATTACACTGTGGAGGGCTTATTCTTGGGAGACAGTGACGGAATCATAAGGATGTTTAGTGATCAAGTTTGTTTTTTATAGTAATTTTGATAAAGTGAGGTGGGGAAAATCTTCCACATCGTCCAGTTCACAACTAAATCAGTCTGTCGGTGTAGGCTGTCAGATATATAGAGTATAGCAGTTTATACTATTCCAACCTAGCTGCTGTTATGCTATGGGCGGGAGTTTCAAATATTTTTTACAGGATTGTCCGGGAATAAGACTTGATACAAGTCATAAATGGTACCACAGAATGTCTTCAGTATTGCTCTTAATAAAGCGCGCGAATATTAAATCCTTGTCAACTCACCTATGATTCTTAACTTTCGAAGTTTTTGTGGATATGACTAATTCCATATTCTGTGTCTTCAGAATAATTCTACTTTGCCGGATGGGAACAATACAGTGGGGTTCATACGCAGCTTGGAGGCTGTCAACATATACTGTAGTGTACGCTTAGGTGCCTTTGATGAAAACTCTCAATTTAAAGTATGATAGGCTGGATTTTTGATTAAATTTAGTGAAATACGAATTTCAGTTGTGAATAATTCCTTAAAAAAACATATGTTCAGCTCACATTCCAATCTTCGCACCTCCTCTAAATGTAGTTTCACGCCTGAAGATGCACTTCTTTCTTCGTGTATTCGTCTATGGTGGCGTTCAAGGCTTATGGGTAGGCTCCCCACCTTTATATTTTCCTCTACATTCTGCCCGTTTCCTGTTGTCTATATTCCTCCTTAGGTTTGATTCTATTTAGGAATAACCGTTACTTTCTTCTTTTTCCATTTTGCGTCAAACCCTTCCTTTTTAAATCGATATATAATTTCCTTCTCGGGGCATATTTTTCTCTAACAGGATGGGTTACGCGCGACTCTTATGTCATGAACCGTGGATTTATATATAACACTCTGGCGCAACTTATCCACACATTACATGAGTAAAAGGGAGGCTTATTGCTTTTATTCATGCTCAATGAGTCTTCCCATTCCCAAAATACTGCTATATAGAAAAAGGGGCAGGACCTCTAAAAATTAAGAGGTTATTCTCATAGCCACTTTGCTCATACTATGCAAAGGAATAGAAAAACTAAAATCAAAGTCATATCAGTAGTGCGATCCAAAGAATTGGCATCGTTATATTCGAAATCAGGGCAACACAGAATATACAGGTAACAAAAAAACTCTCATGTTAGTCCTCGGACCACTAGGGACCCATGCAGTCAACGTAGATATTTTATGATTACGATTTTAGATACAACAAAGATGAACACTTTTACACTAACCGTAGAGACACCGAAGGTCGAAACTCTTTCAGAATCTACATCAGAAAGTTTGTTATATCTTTACAAAAACAAAATAGGTCTTAAGGAAGTTTCTAAAACTTCAAGGACGAAATAAATCTATTTTAAACAATTATATATTTTCATTCATAAAATCACAAAGGGTATCATAGGACATTACATCCTAGGGCAACAAATAAAATTGTAGAGTTTGTAATTCAAGCCATAACGCTCAATACAGATAGGAAAAAATTTAGAACACCAATTAATATAGGTAAGAAATTTCGTACTTATATAGCTCTCTCGCTAACTGCGAATAATCGCGTGTATTCTGAGACAGGAAAGTTGGCAATAAACTCCTTTCTTATTTGATGCGGTATTGGGCCCGGTGAATATCCCACCTCATATGTTACCGTAAGTGTCCTCTGTCGTGTTCACCTTGCTCTCCTGCGGGTTCATTTGTTCTGTGTTAACATTGCTTTAGGTACTCTTACTTGTTAGGTTATTTTTGTTCTTTTTGGTTATATGGGGCTACTTCTCCCTTGTCTTTTCACATTCAGCTTCAGGTTCATTTTCGTTGATACTGTTAAGTCAGTTATATGATTTTACTCTATATATTTAATTTTCCTCTGAAATGGAGAATTCTGCTCAATGTCGCGGTACCTTCAATGCATAGACTGCACTTTGGGAATTACTTCTACTTCATTTTCTTCTACTCCTCTTCCTAATATGATAAGTGGTTTGTATGTTATGGATATTCATATCCTCTTGTCAAAGATATCCTCGTAACATTAATGTTATCAACACCAAGGATATTCCATGGAGGACAGTACTTTGCATATAATACTACTTTTAGGATATCGCCTTTTCTAAAAAATGCTACTGCAGATACCTCACAGGATTTGGTAGAACTGTGATGTCCCTATATTGCAATTGAGACTTTAATCCTTTCAAAAATAAGGTACCGCTAATGAGATGACATCACTGCAATATGAACAATCGTTCTATTCAAATAACGAAACGTCCAATGTTTCATCCACCCCAAAGTAATATTCGGGGCACATACCTTTATGTCACTACATACTTCTTCTGGTATATTCTTAGGCTTAATAAAATAGTGTCCCCTATATAAGAGCACTTTGCGTATATCGAAACCCTTCAAATAATCGTGCTTGGGAGATATGCATTATCATTGTAACACTGTGCTCTGCAAATAAGAATACTACGCACACGTGAGATGGCTCACAGAATATGGCTCCAGATGATCCATTATTCTTATGCGACTGTGCTCTACAGACAACAGTACCCTGCAAATATGACTATAGTTCATCGATTAGTACATTCAAATAAGAGCA